GTGTGTGTGTCTGGATAGTCAATCCCTCCACCCAGTGGTCCTACACCTGAGCTATCTAGCTTTGCCTTTAAGTATTACAGATGGGTGTGTGAAAGGACTTCTGCAATCTATTAGTGCTTGAGGGACACTCAGAAATAATATCATTTATGTTTTTAGGGATCAATAAGATACAATCTAAAGATCCGAGATTAAAGCATGTACCTTTTATTCAGGGTTGTGTACCGCATGGCTGATAACATCTGGAGTCTTTATTGTTTCAGACAGTAGACACAAGGCAGCCGTTGTGTGTGTGTGCGCGAGTGGAGCAGGGGTATTAACAAATATAATGTAGAGGATGTCTCCCCTCCAGGCCTCTATAGTAAATACATGCGTTATAGACAGTGACAGAAACAGGAAAGGCGCTTTAAATAGCTGTCAGTGTTTCGGTGTGAATAGGACAGCTGTTGACTTGCAGGGAAGGAGTGGGCAGCCAAGCAGGATGGAGCGGTGTTTTGGTCTGTTTGGACTCAGTGGCTTTGAATTGGAGGGGAAGTACGATACAAAGAGCAAGAGGAGAGCACTCATACTAGAGTTTATCTGACAAGGATGAACTGGTTGCTTTCAGATTTTCAAATACAAATATAATAGTTGTCCCACAATCATGTTCTGAGGCTAATTTAATGGATCTTTAATGTCTCTTTGTTATGTATTTTTTCATGTATTAGCATTACATTGATGTGTTGTCACAGATGTACACTTGATGTCGCTGCACATTTTTGTATGAATGTCATTTCCTGTGGGGCTTCGTGCAATGACAGGAAGGCTAATAAAACACAGACAAGGAAACCGCCGTTTCGTTTGTGTGTGTGTGGGTTTGTGTAGGGCCTCACGGTTTAAGGTCGCAGCAAAAGACTTAGCAAGGGCAAACCTGATCATGTGTGGTGACCAAAGAAACAAAAGCAAGAACACCATATGAAACAAAAGAGGTTTGTTATGAAAGCTTCTCAAACTGTGTGACTTATATTTCAGCCTAAAAGGTCAAAGGAGTATTCATATGATCCATCAGCAGTGTGTTTGCTTAGATAAACGTTCAAGATGGGTAGAAATTACTCATCTTCTACTGTGGCTCATTTGGGTGGCAATTATGTAATAGTTTAAAAGGAATAAAGAGATCATCACACTGCATTAGTAATGTCTATAGATACATTGAAAAACAAGCGGTCCCACACAGCTTTCTGCTGACTGAAGCAAAGAACTCACTTGACTCCAAAGCGGTCCATGAACATGATGTGGTTCCTGAAGGTTCTGTTGACGTCCAAGTCTATCTGTTTGATCTCTGTGGAGTAGCTACAAGCCTGCTGCTTCATTTTCTGGAGGATAGAAAAAGGACAAATTAATTGGCCCGTTCACAGTAGCCACATTTTAGGGCAACTGTCATCACTTTTAGGATTGATACCTCATATTTTCCAGTGTTTTCTTCTTTGACTTTCTCTATGTCCAGAAGCAAGGCCCAGGCCTGGCCTCTCAGTTGCAGAGGGATGCCTTTATACACACGCTTCACCAACTGAAACGCATGACATACGGACAGACGTGAATAGAGACTCTCTAAACATAAAGAGGCAGGCAGTCTTCACCACAGCAACCAGAGGAAATAGCCAGAGGGTCACATAGAAATGTTGCTTTATATGAAGAAGCCTGGTTAACGGTCTTGACTGACAAGGACTCATCACACGCACTTATGTACTTGATTTAACTGTCTAGACTGGAGAAGAGGGAGGAATAAGGGAATAAGCTGTGGTTAAAAGGGGAATGGAAAACACATTATTAACATAAACGGAAATAATACATCACATAGTTGAGTAGAAAAAGGGAAGCGAGGGCTAAATTAAGACAGTATGTTTGTGAGTCAGAGTGCATCCATAGTTACACACCTTTTCACTGTTTCTGTACTTGTCCCAGTTCTTCACCATCTTCAGCCATTTCTCCACTCGCTCTATCTCCTGCTGCTTTAGCTGGGGAGCGGAGAGATGGGCATACATGTGGTCATACATTATGTTAAGGGGTGTAAATATATGACATGCAAGGTCAACCTCTGGACTTGCTACAAGTTAATACCTTCTCTTCAAGCGCACTGGGTGTCGGCAGCTCTTCCTCACTGGAGCAGAAATTGAGAAATACACAGTGTGTATGTATGAGAAATAGGGACATTCAAAAGTTAACATAATATGTTTAGCAAAAATACAAGATTTCATCATAATGTAAGAAAGATGAAAGAGAAGAAGTGGGGAAGAACCTAGAATTTAAGCGACTATAAGGAAGCAGTCAAAGCTTTAAGTTAGGTAACTTACTGCAGGAAGCCGAAGCGGTCAGTGACCTTATAGATGCTGTAGTCAGCATCCTCCCATGGGTCAATGTTGACACCATCCTGCCTGCCCTGAAACACCATCATACCAAAAACCCTTTTTAGAAAATATTGTATGCAAAAGAAGTCATTAAAATGACACTACCGACCAAAATGTTCTGTCCTCTCATTGTGGTTACCTTGTTTTCCTGTTTTTAAATGGGCCACTAAAGTGTTTTAACCCTAATTAGTGAATACACATGTAGCATTCACAGTCACTGTCATTAATTGATCCTTCCTAGTAATCCCACTTTCACTGTCTATTCTGAGCTCACACATTGCAGGCACCACTCGGGGCAACATCATCAACATCAACTCCCCTGTTTTGATGTGTTAGATATACCCTGATTGTCTTTCTCTGGAGGAAATGTTTTGTTCCAAAGGATCATGATCTTACATTTAAGGCAGGACATGAATTGCGGTACACTGGCTGTGCCTATTTTTAAAAACAACAACAACAATAATAATATAATCATCCGGAGGGGACCTTAAACCAAGATAATTTGTCCATTTTAATTTGTATTATCTTTATGTTTATCATAAAGGTAAAGTATTGTCAGTTAGCTGGAGGTATTCCACTTACCTTGTCATATTTAGCAAGTATTTCAGCACGTTCCTCTGCTATCAATGTGTCTATGTCCTTCTTCATGACCAAATCTGGAAGGAAACAGACAAAAATGTCATTAATCAGAATTGGGCTAAACCATATTAATGTGAATGAGCATTTACATTTGTAAGATATTGTAGCTTGGTGATTTACTGCTGCTTGGTTGTGTGGGTGTGGAATATGGCGAGGGAAGCTATTCCTGGGCATAAAAATGGATGCATTCTGTTTTGCCAAGTGGAGAAACTTTCCTTGCTTTTACTCTGCAGGGAGGACAGATTGTGGCTGGACCTACTGGTCAGGTGAATACTCAGATGTTTATCATGTTATAGCTTCTTTCCATAAGTCTCACCATCAAATAAACTGAAGATTACTAACTTGCTTACTTACTTATCCACCCAAAACCAAGAAAAAGGAACGTTTGACAGAGTTTTACAAATTTGACACATCAACCATCAAAGCCAGGATTATGCAAATCAGGGCAAGCCAAGTTTATTTGTATAGCACCTCATCAAAGCAGTTCAAAGGGATTCAGATAAAAGACAAAAGGCATCAAGATAAAATATAAAAGCAACAAAAAGCCAGAGCCTCAATGATGAGTTGATTAATCGATTAGTTATCAACTATTAAATGAATTGCAAACTTTTTTGATAAATGGTTAGTCATTCATCCAGTCAAGAAAAAAGGTCCCAATTCTGATTTCAGCTTCTCAAATGTGAATATGTCCTGCTCTTCTTAGTCCTAAATGGTCAACAGATTCATCGATAACGGAAATAATGGTTGGCAACAGGCCTACATGAGGCATCATAAAAGATGCTAATGCTGTGTACCATAGTGTGATAAGGCCAACACTTCATCACATATTGTTCTTTAAAAATAGACTTTGGAAGTAGCAAGTAGGGTGAAGACACAAACCACAAGGCCATCAGCAACTTCCTATGTGCCCAGAGCGGACAGAGCGCTCCATTAATGTTCACAGATTCTCAGGGTGAAGTTAAGATTAGAAGTATACTGCAAAGGACTGAATGCATTAGTGGGGACTGTGTACTGCCCTTTAAAAGGATGCCGACTTTGGATCACCTGGTTAACAAGCAGTGCTTTGCAAAATAGCCAAACAAAAAAAAGTGAATTCATATTATATTGCCGTTTCAAAAAGCATACACAAAAGGAAAAGATAAGACGTGAAAGCTTTTGTTCTGATTTTAGACCTGATCTTGTAGCGGATATGTTACATCTGGATGCTTAGGGCTTTTAAAAACAGTCCGTTCCTCACCTCCAACTCATCTGTCCAAAAAGGGCAGCTCAGGTCGGACTGCGGGTGGATCAGAACGGTTCAGACTGAACCTCTAAACCTCTAAACCTCTCACAGAATCAAATAATCTGCGCAGTCAAACTGTTCCAAGGAAGCTTGCCCTCCTTGATTTTTGGAAAGCAGTACTGTGTAGAACAACCCAATAATCCTCATTCAGACAGCTTTACTACTCCGTGATCAACATTCAGTCTTAAGTTCAAAAGAGGAAAAAGGACATAAAAAACTCACGTGTGTTTCAGTCTGTTTGTCAAATTCGAGGCTATCTGAGGGTTAATCACAAGCAGACAGTCGGGTCACAGAGCCAAAAAGTGTGACACACAGTGACAGTCATGGGACAGTCATGTCTCTAGCATGTGTGTGTGAGTGTGTGTGTACATGTATGTATTCATCCGTGTCTCTGCCTGTGTGCACCACCAGAACCAGAACTCCAAAGCTCCTCGGGTCTCAGCCCGTCCCTTTGTCTCACAGTCACCTGTACCTGACCCCGCTGTGCCCCCTCACTCCTGCCTCCAGCCTTCCCTGCTCCGATGACCTCTGGCAGCAGGCTCAGCTGTTCAGCAGCTGTCAGGGTTGAGTAATGGAGAAGAGAGAACAGCCTCCCCGCTCGTCTGCTAGGTCAGCATCTGGGAGTGATGTCTGCATATGAGGAATATGCCAGCTATTCCTAGCAGGCACAGTGGATGATGGGAGATAAAAGGAGTGGATACAAAGCGCAGGGCAGTCGTACCCTTTGAATGGACTCTAGGCAACTAGCTGCTATCTGCTGTTCATTTTAAGCAACAAGTTAGACAACAAAGCCGTTGTTGTGCTGCAACCTTAAATACTGTCATGGGTTAGATGCCCAAACTGAAACAAATTACAATTTCAAATGAAAGTGAAAGTCTTTGAAGGTATTATAGTGTTCCTTTAACAGAGAGATGAATGGTGAGCTACAGGCAAGAACTTTCAATTGTGACAGTCCAAAACCAACAAGATCCACAGCGAGCCTGTTGCAGCAGAAGCGGTGCACTGAGGAACACTTTCACTGATGCCTGACAACATGTGCAGCCAGCCGAGGCCTCTGACATGCCTTGCCACAACAGGTGTGAAAGCGCCCCTTTAACTTCTGCCCACAGGGACTCACGCTTTGTGCTGACGAGGTCACGTTTGGCTCAAAACCTCGTGACATTTCCCCAGCAGTATTCCCGGGCAGTGGGCACACTGACAGACACGTTAAGGTGGTAGGATAAAGGGCGTCACGTTCCAAGATGCAGTCTGTTTGTGGGTATATATTTGCTAACAAATCAGCATGTTTTTGTTCAGCTGGGATACCGCTTTCATTATTATTATTCTTCACTCACCCAATCCTGAGAAAGTCCCCCCCTAAGCAACCATATATACCTGCTCTTCAAACCCCCAGCATCCAGTCTTGTCCATCAGAACAACAGCTGAGTCTGTTAACAGGTGGTCAGTGAAACCAGGCCACTGAACAAATGGCCTCTGCTGTTCTCTTCATTCCTCAGGTCAAACTATTTCAGGTGTCTGGAGGCATAAGCATATTTCTCTGAACGGCTGAGTAAGCTGTCTGAGAGGTGGAGCCATTAAAATGCCTCTAACCTTGCTCACTGTACACCATAGTATCAGGGGAGAAAGCCTTATATGCAGGCTACATTTAAAAAGCGGTGGGGTGGATGTGTGGTTTAACACACTAACACGTGGTGCTAAACAGATACAATGGTATTATATCTGTATATTAAAATCACTGTCTTTTACGTAAACTGGGGTAAAAGGTTTGTTGTGCTTCATCTTTAGGTCCCTGCTGCTTACTTCCTGTGTTGAGTCTCCAGACTGCTGATAGTATTGTGTTGGGGTCAGGAAGAAAAGGAAACCAGTAACTGCCACTCCTTCAACAACAGGTTCAATGAGAACTGCAAAGAGTGTGACCACAAAATCCTCCAACCAAGGAAAACCCTTTTACTGACAAAGCTTCACATTATCTACACTTGGTGTCTGTAGTCAGCAGGAAAGACATGAGTAATGCCACAACGTGGTCAGTTCACATCAACACGACTGGGATTTTGGCTGTGAGTCACTCTGTGTCAAAAGCATTACGTCTTGCTGTTGGTCCAAAGAAATGTACTTAGAAGTGCTCTTTTCAAGTGGTGAGAAAGGTGGGGATCAGGGTGTCAGACTGATGGAAAAAAGTGAGTAAGCAGCAGAGAAGGTCGCCGAGTAGGATCGTAAAACACAGTTAAACAGCACACCTGGGGGACCAAAAAAAAAACCAAATCCTTTGTCTCAAAGTGTGGTGGGAGTGAGACAGAGGCGGTGGACAGGTGGCAGGTGGGTGGCTTTACACAGAGAAGGCTCTGACTACACGCAGTGGAAAAACACTTTCCTGCATGGCTACATTTTGATAACCTAGCTGCTTACAGGATACAAGATTTTCAGCTAGGTGACATCATTTCCTGTTATGACATAGCGCTCTAAATCTAGCTTGCGTATAAATTCTCAGTGCACTGTTAGTGCAGCTTGCAAAGCACTGACAATCCCGTCCAGCTAATAACATGGTTGGAAGCAGAGGAGTGTCAGTCAAAACGGCTTTTTACTGATTTATCACTGAAATTTCCCATCTCAGCGCTGTGTGCAGCCCAACGTTATTTAACTCTTCGCCTCATTTCCCAGGGAGGATAAAGCACAAGTACTCTTTTCCTTACTTTTCTACTTTTCCTTGATCCATAAACATCCCTCTGTTGGCTTATAATCACTCTCAATCTGAGCAGAAGTCAGATGTCAGATTTAGGGATTATACAGGACCAAAGCCAGAATGACAGCCTGAGATTAGGAGTCTGGCAGAGGTCAACTGACGGAAGCCTTGGGAGGGCAGCGAGCTCCACTACACTGATAGTTTGGGTTAGGTAAGCGCTGTGTATTCACCAGATGTGCGCATCAGTGGGCACACATCGTGAACTGAAACCTGTAAGTGAAACTACATCAGGGTGTGGAGCGCTTCTAGCAACAGAACGGAGGACAGAAAGAAGACGAGTTACTGGGCTGGAGACTTACTTCCACCGTTTCAATCTACTTACAGATGTTGCCTTGAACCCCGATGGGACAGATTTATCAACTTCCCAGATCTAATGTCTCACAGAGCATCTTCTGACTGGCTGGCACTCAAGCCCTCTCCCCGAACCGTCGATGGCGTGACGAAGGAGAAGACGACAGATGTTTCGCTCTCTTCCCCGCTGAATGATTAGTCAGTGCTTCGTGGTCAGCCAGAGGACGATCTGGCTCCGAGATCAGACGTGCACTCATTGGACCTGGTTAACCTCAGTGCATGCTCTCATACCGTGCCTCTCCAATCATACATCCTCTTTTATTTATCACCGTCATCCGTCCTGCACATTATCCTGTGGTCTGAAATAACCGCCCGCCAAGTACCGAAGAAACAGAAGATAATGCCAGCCTCTTTTGATAAGTCCTAAATGCCCCAAGCAACCTCTCATTGGTGTGGTTGACATGCTTACATCTCATGTCTTTAGGTTTTTGAATGTGGCTGCACCGTGCTATAGTGTCTATACACGGTCTTCTAAAGATATCACACACACGTTACATGTACTACTTCTATAGCTGTGGTGGTTTGGTACATCTTGACAAGGAGACCTGTGATATGTGAACAAGGTACTTATTTCAGTAATTACTGCAGTCATTACTCATACAACTCGCAGCAATGGACTTCAAAGACTGACTTGTAACGCCGTC